ACCATCTTGAAACACCGACTTCGGTGGCTTGGACATGTTCTACGAATGTCGTCCCAGAGAATTCCACGTCGTGCATTATTTGCCGACTCTGTGACTGGTTGGAAAAAGCGGAGAGGTGGTCAGTGTATGACACATGGTGTCGTGGGATGAAAGAAAGCTGCAAAGGACTGACTTCTGTCGGTCCTTCACGACTCCCTGGTTGGGGTCTGAGAGATGGTGCTACACAGTGGCTAGATACGATATCAGATATGGCTCAGAATAGAAGCCAGTGGCGATCCTGCTGTAGCCTTCTTTTACTTTCTTCATAAAAAGTGGTTGTGTCTCCCTTACTTGAAAGATTTCTTCTAATTGTACCTTTCCGTTCTTCCATTGTTACCTTTATTATTATTACACCACCTTACATCAATCTCTTCCCGACCGTTGTTGCTACCTTGACGTGGTGGTCGGGCTTTTTATCGTGATGGAGGAACCGAGCTATACTGACTGGAACAACTGTTGCTCAAGGTCCTACCACGTCAGAAAGGTCGGTTGAAGAGCGGTAAGTCTAAAAGCAACAAACATAATGTCCGAAGGCGAAGTCGTACTGCTGACTGTACAGAGGTGTGACAGCAGTAAGGTGTTTCCATCAGACAACCAGCATGACAGCGATGATGCTTTCCCACAAGGAGGAGTGGGGTTAGAAAAGGTCGACCCTAAAAATGCACACCTCGCCTTATCCCACGCATATCCGTCTCCGGCGGTAAGGTCTCAACAAGTACGGAGCTAACAAAAAATTGCCCATGAAAAGGTCGTGTGTGACCGACCTCAAGTAGTTGTCCCTTGAGCACTGCGGTCATGCTCCCAGGTCACTAAGACCACTTCTAATCCGATTTCTTTTTCAGGTACCTCCAGAAGAACCCTTCCACGGTGTGGGCAACCGCGAAGTGATAACCGCCCTCATACCTCTAACAGCACTCAAGACCACTGTATTCATTATCAACCTCTGTCTTCAATTCCTATTATTCCTCCTACATCAATTCTTTTTTTCAGCTTCCCTCTCAAGTGTCATCATAGCCAACGATTCTAGTGCTCAAAACACTGTTCCAGGCCTACTGAAACCTCGCTCCACACTACACATTAGAGCCTTCAATGTACGCACCCTATGTCAAATCGGTCAGCATACCTCCTTGGCTAAAACCCTAGAATCTCGTACCATTGGTGTATGCTGTGTCTCTGAAACACGCATACAGGATTCCAGTGTGGTCATTCACTTGACCTCACCTCGGCAAAACGGAGAGCCAACGAGATACACCCTCCGTGTATCTGGTGACCCGATGGCCAGTTCTCGTGGACTGGCAGGTGTAGGCATAGCACTAAGCATAAGGGCGGAACAAGCACTGCTAGAGTGGATCCCCGTCAACAGTCGTCTATGTGCTGTTCGGCTAAACAGCTCCGTAAGAACTCGGAAGGATAGAGACACACGTCGTTGCCTTTTTGTCGTTTCTGCCTACGCTCCCACCGACTGCAGCTCAGATGAAGTGAAAGATGAATTTTACAGAAATCTATCTGAACTTCTTCAGAAAGCTAAGCGTTCAGACATAGTACTCGTAGCAGGTGACTTTAATGTCCAGATAGGTAGTTTAAACCAAACAGAAACGCATTTAGGTGGGTATTTCAGTATGGTGATCGTCTGCTGCGACTGTGCTCAGACAATCGTTTATTTTTAGCAAACACAAATTTTAAGCATAAGGAGAGACATCGTCTAACATGGCGACCCCCTACACCAAACCAACGATGGACTCAAATAGACCATATTGCCATCAGTCATCGTTGGAGAGGGTCGATAGAAGATTGTCGGTCATTCTGGAGTACCTGCTTGGACTTCGACCATGCCCTAATACGGGCACGCATCTGCTTGCGCCTCACTGGACACAAAAAAGCCACATTAAAAAGACCCATTAGAACTGAATTGAGTAAAGAGAAAACCAAAAGTAAGTTCCAGGAACAACTGAGGTCACACTTAGGTAGTTCTGAAGACGAGGCTGACCCAGATGTTGCTTGGAAAGTCATACAAGCAGCTGTGGAAGCAGCAGTGACATCTATTAGCAACTTAAACCACAGAGTTTCAAAGAACCAGTGGATTTCTTCAAAGTCTATCACACTGATGGATTCTCGCAAACTCGTCCCATCAGGTTCTGAACATGATGAAGAGCGACAACAAATCAGATCTAGGTTAATAAAAAGTCTAAGAAACGACCGTGAGCAGTGGTGGGCAACGAAAGCAAAAGAGATGGAAAAGGCGGCGGCTATAGGGAACACAAGACAGCTCTACAGACTAATAAAAGAAACTGGAACTAATAAGTCAAGTGTAAGTGAGATTATTTCGGAAAAAGACGACACTCTCATCTACTCCCAGTCTAGACATTTAGAACGATGGGTGGAACACTTTAGGGAACAGTTCAGCTGGCCTTCAGCGACTCTACAACTACCGTCCATTCCCAGACAGTGTGAATGAAACATTGAAGTAGGTCCCCCAACTCTATCAGAAGTTCAAAGGGCTGTAGTTAATCTGAAACGAGGAAGGGCAGCTGGTCCAGATGGATTGGCTCCAGAAGTCTTTAATGATGGTGGTCCAATTTTAGCGGTTATGTTGACTAATATTTTAGCTAAGATCTGGGAGTTAGATGTCATTCCATCTGACTGGTCACAATCACTTATCGTCCCAATATATAAGAAAAGATCAAAATCATCTTGTGACAACCACAGAGGGATTAGTTTAACAAATATAGTATTTAAAATACTAGCCTCAATAATAATCAGACGCCTAACTAAGACTCGTGAACTGCAAACACGAGAAAACCAAGCTGGCTTCAGACCTGGTCGTGGCTGCATCGACCACATATTCACCATTCGTCAGGTTCTAGAACACAGGCATACTTATCGACATCCGACAATGGTGGTCTTTCTTGACTTAAAAGCAGCATTTGACTCGGTAGACCGCGAGATTCTGTGACAGTGTCTGTCATTGAAAGGCGTACCTCAAAAGTACATAAACCTTGTGAGGGCTCTTTACTCGAACACTACTAGTCGAGTCAGAGCTTATGGCGAAATGTCATCTACTTTTGCAACCTCAAGTGGTGTCCGTCAAGGATGTCCACTCTCCCCATTTTTGTTTAACTTCATCATAGATCTACTGATGAAAATAACTTTCTCGTCGACTGAGTTCTCGGGTATTGATCTCCATCCAGGAGGTCCACTTATCGACTTAGAATACGCATATGACATAGTCCTGTTTGGTGAAGACGCTGACAAAATGCAGAGTCTTCTGGTAGCACCGAGCAACAATGCCAGAATGTTTGGAATGCGCTTCTCTCCCTCTAAATGCAAGTTGTTGCTTCAGGACTGGCCTGCGTCAACACCTGAACTAAGGATAGGGAGTGAAGTAGTCGAACGCGTTGACAACTTCACTTATCTTGGAAGTCTGATCAGCTCTAATGGGCTGGTATCGGACGGAATCTCAGGACGGATTCGAAAAGCTCGTTTGGCTTTTGCCAACTTACGTCACCTGTGGCGAAGGCGAGATATCCGTCTATCAATAAATGGACGAGTATACTGCGTTGCAGTCCGTCCTGTCTTACTTTACGGCAGCGAAACATGGCCTTTAAGAATAGAAGACACTCGTAAGCTACTAGTATTTGACCACAGATTCCTCAGAAATATTGCTGGCGTCTGTTGAGATCACCGGGTAAGTAATAGTGAGGTTAGACTCAGGGTATTAGGTAATGACGGTAAATCAGTTGATGAGGTTGTGAATCTTCATCGACTGAGATGGTTGGGCCACGTGTTACGTATGCCTGAACACCGATTACCACGTCGTGCAATGCTAACGGGTGTTAGAGATGGTTGGAAGAGGATTAGGGGCGGCCAAAGCAAAACGTGGCATCAGTGCTTGAAGACACTAACCTCTAGTCTGAGCTATGTTGGTAGATGCAAACTAGCTGGTTGGGGTCCGCGTGACTTTCGTAACCGATGATTGGAGACTCTTGGTGACATGGCTCAGAATCGATCACAATGGCGTCGGTGCATACACTCCCTGTTTTCCTTTAAAGTAAGAGATTAAAATCGCTTCATATCTTTCTTTCTACGAACTAATTCTATATTCCGGTACTGTATCCTTATATGCAATATTTCTCCTATATATTACCACCTTTAACCTAACCACTCCTATGAATCCGGTGTTCATCTTGCTGTGCTAATGAGGTATGGCAACCTGGACCGATGCATATATGTGCCTGGTCCTACGTTGTAGCTGACTGACTGACTGACATCAATCTCTTCGTTATTATTCTCTTTTTTTTCCTTCCCCTTAAATTTTCATTTTGTGTCACATATATATTTGGCGCATTCTTGTACCGATATTTATGTGTTCAAATAAATAAATAATCAACTTTGCATAGATTCAATTGTGTTAGCAATGTTGATGACTAAAGTCACCTTATGAACTGTTTATCATAATTTGCTACAAACATGATAATTGTCGTCTACCACTTTTACCATTGACTTCGAGTTGCTTATTAGTTAATCAAATCACTTGTCTGGGCATGGATATGGTATCGAGAGGATGTTCTGTCACCATCAATGATTTCCATGTACTTAGTAGTTCGAATTTTCTGTTTTCGTTCGTTAGCAAATATATCACTTTCAGATATTTTAGTTGTACATCGAAAGTCCAAGGATTGGCTTATCTGGCATTGGGAATATTACAGATCATCTTATATTTCTATAGATTTCTGCGCATTTGGAATAAAATAAATATTGGGAAATTCCAATCAATTTTCTGATTACTTTCACTTAAGACTGTAGTATAATCATTATAATATTGTGTTCTCGTTATTTTTGGTTTCCCTTTTTTATCAGTGGCAGACATATCTGAAGTAGTTGGTTTTGAAGCGTGGTTTTTCCGTTTTTTATTGCCAAGCCGATCCTAAAACTTCGAGCTAACTCTTTATTCCCTGTTTTAGTTACTCTGGGCATACTTGTGAGCTGTACCTTGTCTCACGTTTGGCACCCAACTTTGCTACCGTTTGCCGCGTCTTGTACGAAATCCGTAAACGATGCCCAAGTTTTATTCCAAAGTCATTATTTGATTTTGGCTCTGGGCTCGGAACAGTCACCTGGTGAGTATTCTTGATGAATTTTTATTACAGATCTCTCACACTGGAATTCTACATTGTCAACTAGTACTATTTTAGTTTATTGAGAAGTGACTTTTGATGCATATTAATTATCGTATACTGCAACGGAATAATTGTCTGTAAATTACAATACACTGTAAATAGTTTGACTTCCTCTACTATCTCTAATCTAGTGGTGGTGCTTATGCCTTATCATGACCATGTCGGGACTCATAGATGTAAACGCAAATCCCCTAAGCTTGTATTATATCAGAGTGGTAGTACTAAAAATAACTAGTTTGACTGTGAAACAGAGTGACTTCATTTTGTTTCGTTGATATTTAGCCAGCTTTCATAACCTGCAACATTGAGAACACAAGATAACAGTGGAACTATAATCTATTTTTGTTTGCTGAGGCTAAGAAGTAGGATATCATTTGGGAAATTATACCCGGAATTTAAAATGTATTTATTGTACTTGGGCCAATATACATTTGAACCAACTTGTTTACGTTGGTTGTGACTGTCTGACTGATGTCATAAACAAATATTTTTAGATAATGAGTGTTGCCGGTTTATGGCTATCTAGTGAAGTGGAATGAATTCGTGTCAGTTTTATCCTTTTCAAGGAAAATAAATGTATGGAAACAGTGCACCAAAGAAAAATTTTGATTCATATTGAAGCCGTATTGTTATATGTATAACAAAAACTAACTGTTATCTTCTATTACAGAAGGAGAAAGGATTATAAAAATCGGGACTTAATTCCATCTTGCTTTTTCTCTTGATTTATTGATATGGAGTTTGATGAAGGAAATCGCGATACAATTGCTTCCTATCTTTTTGCTATACCAAAACATCTATTCAGAAGTATTCATATATATATCCTCTTTAATTTGGACTACAATAAAGTTCCAGTTTTTCATGCAGTAGGACTTAGATGCCGAGAAAGTTATCAGTAAGAAACAGATTGTTCTCTCAGCGTTATCCAAATTTAGAATCCACTGTATTTCGTCAGTCATATAAGGTTATCATGTTACGAACAAACAGTATCATATATAAAAAGTACATTAATTCGCCAAAAAGTGAGCAACTAAATCAATTAACATAGCAGCGTTCGATAGATTTAAGATTCCTGTTTACTTCCCGATAGAACCGCTAAATTTCTTCTTACCATCTTTATAAATCTTGTTGTTTTTTCAGTATAATCATTTTCACTCCATAGCGCGAATACCAACTATAATATAACAAAGTAGAAACGTAAGTGGTTTATTTTCAAGATATTTTTAGTGAAATGAAATTTTAGATTGAATGCAAGATGATACTTGGAAAGTCTCATTTTTGTCGTTTCACTGGTCTAGTGACCTACTAACTTAGGTTATAATTAATTAATCACTAATATACCTTTTTCGTCCTTATTCGTAGTTCTTTCGATTCACTTAATTTTTTCCTCTGTTATACGCTGAAAATTTAGGGCGACAAACACAGTCTGGCCAGTTGGTTGCGTACGCCATCATTATCTGGTGGAACCATCATTACATATGACACGAATATCAGAGTTTATGTTTCAAAAGCAGGGGAGTGTTCAACCCTCTGAATTTGTGTTTCCTGGTGTTTACCATCGCCGCTTCATGCCTAGTACCAAGGTAATCGACTTTACGTTTGTCGTGTTTCTTAATTTATTCAAACTCACAACAAGACATAATTCATTAATCTTCCTCACTTGTCGTAGTGTTACCCAAAATTATATTTTCTGTAAGGTTGTGAACTAGGTAGCTTTCTGCTTTTAAAAGCATCGGAATTTTATCCTCAAAATGGCTTACTAATTATACTTGTGTACTAGGTTACATAAACTTCAGCTACTGGCCTAGATAGTGTAGTCGGCATTAAACATTTCTTAAAAGTATTTAGTACATTAAGGTAAGGTTTTTAACATGTATTTACTTAGGCTGATGAGTTGCATTGGATAATAGTCACAAAAAGTCTTTCTAATTCGCTTCATGGTTTGTTAGGTGTTGGGGACGTTAGATCCCCAAAACTCATATTTTGTAATTTTATCTTTGTGGAGCTTGTATGCAGATGCATGCTTGGGCATTTCTTACCACCCACGCACATAGTCGATTGACGAACTTATCGATTAAATGCTCAAATATTTCAATGGGAGTCGACTGACAAACTTATCGATTAAGTGTTTAAAAACTTCCATGGCAATATCAATCATATATTTTTTGTATAAATACGTTTGATTTGTGTGCTTGAGGGACCTGGTATCTTCTGGTTGTTTGTAGAATATACTTTCTACATCTTACCAAGACTTCTGGATCGAGTTAGCTGAGTCGGAGACAACGGACCAGTATAGCCTATCGAGTCTCTGAATCATTGATTCTTCGTTCCGTTCCGAGTGAGACGAATCAGTAGTAGCATTCAAATTAACGAACATAACACTGGGTATATTAGAATACACCGGTTTCTGAATTACGGTCTTATTGTCATAAGCTCGACATGTAAGTAGACAGTTGCCACCAATGGATCCTCCTTTGACCAACTTAGTGGTTAAATAAAAACAGATACCGTAAAGTCGATAACGTTAACGCGGAAATAGACTTATAGGAAAAATTGCATTTGGCTTCCCGAAGTTTATTGTTAGTAACTGCTGTTCATAAACACTAATCACTCACACGTTTTCCACTGATCACATTCGGTTATTAGTTTTCTCAGTTGCCGGGTTCCGAAAGTAAACTATGATTAAAGATAGGGCAAATATTTGATGTTAGTTACTGAGCTGTTGAGTTAATAGGTCATATCACAAAGCGATGGTATCTCTCAACATTGTCTGTGGAATGTAAAGTTGTCTTTTATTGATAAATCACACTGTTAAGTGGCCCCCAAATGCCCTGGTACGGCCGAGAGTGGGGAGAGTCCGCTCTCCCTCTCGAAATACTCTCACACGGCCACGCGTATATAGCCTCTGCCAGGGAAGTCCTACTCACTGCCTTCTCGTGGCGGGGGTGTTGTTTACGAAAATGAGAGGACGAAAAGCGAATGTCCGGCGCTTTAACCGGATTCCAAACCAATGGTGCACATGGGCTCCAGTATCCTGCGGGAACAAATGGCGTATGAACCAATTATTGGTCACCGGCTTCCATGGGACTGCATCTCCTTACGATGCTCCACTGCCTTGTGGATCAGACCTTTGGGTCGAAGGCTCGGGGTGTGGCCCCCTAAGAAAACCACCTGCTTCGGTTTGGGCACCCGGGCAGTATCACAGCCCTCACACATATCGAATGAGATTTGTGTGGCGCATATGTATTTGGTGCCTCTTTGTACCATTATCTATGTGTTGAAATAAATAAATAAATAAGTGGCTTTATGCAGATGACATCCTGCCATTGTGACTTGCCTGTTAAAGCTCTCAAATTTACTATGAGTTGCGTAATCTATATGGTATACCAGTTGTTGTATATTCTCATTAATTTACTCATTCGGAGACCTCGTGTATAGAAGCTACCGGTAATGTAGGGGAACTAGTAACTGAGACGGGTTTTTTCTCTACTTGATATTAGATGATATGACGAAATACGACCTCATGACGTTTTATATTTTTTAAAGCAGGTTAAGTTGATTCCAGGAAGTTCACCAATCCCTATTGAAGCGTTTCGTTTGACTGGATGTAAAGTTTAATTTTAAGTAGGGGAAAATTTATTGACAAACTACTATTAGTATGGTTTTTTTTTATAAAAGTTTGATAAAATGTGAACTCTGTTTTAACATTCTCTAGGTATTTAAGCCTAGACAGAAACAGTTGGATAACGTCCATCTTTAGCGAATACCTTATATTGTTTATTTGTAACTTAACATGAGTATGTTGATTTGTCAATTTTGTGCCCCGTTTCAATTATATGTTTCGCTATCGATGAACATAGTTTGCTATAGGTCATAGTATTGGACTGTGTTGTGCATTTTCCCGCATATGAATCTGATAGCATTAACATTGGGAAGGTTATCAAAGCTATTCTAATCAAAAGCAGTATTTTTACTGACTGGTTGTCTGTTTTTTGTCTGTGTTCTTACAAGACTAATAGTCTAAAATAAGAGTTTGTTTCATCTGACTTTATTTCTTTTCTTACGCTACTGGTTTCTTTCGCTTGAGGAGATACATATTTGAAGCACATTCTCAGTCAGTAGAAGTAAACTAATTTACCTATTAGTTTTCTGAATACACAATGTAACATATGTGATTAAACTAAAGATATTCACAAATTTTCTTGCGGAAATCTGCATAAAAAGTTCTATGACAGTATAGGGGGGTTTGTGAGTTTTTAATTTTCGTAGTTTTGATCATGGACCGACCTTAGACAACCATTGATCTTCAGTCGTTATCTTGTAGAGGTCAATTCCTCCCCACTCGACCACAACATGATGCCTCGTTAACTGAGTATTTTAGCAGGTCAATGGTCCTAGTAGTACTATGGGCATCAGTAGTTGGGATAGTATATATCAATAAGAACAGCCGAAAAAGCTGAATGAGAAGGAAATATCAAACAACGTTATGATATAACGAAGAAACTGGCAGGAAAATATAGTAAAGCAGAGAGACTGGTCAAGGATAAAGAAGGAAAGTTAATCACTGAGATTTAAGAACAGAGGAATAGATGAGTGGAACTCTTGAATAATCCAGCTCCACTGAACCCACCGGATATCGAAGTAGCACACACAGACCTTCCGGTAGGTACCACTTCACCAACGATCGAATAAATCAGGATGTCCATCAGACAAATCAAATGTGAGAAAGCAGTAGGACCTGACAATATACCAGCCGAAGCAATAAAATCAGTCATAGAAGCAGCTGCAAACATACTGCACTTTATATCCAGGAAGATATAGGAGAAGAAACAAGTGCCAACAGACTGGAAAGAAGGATATCTCATCGAGATACCAAATAAAGGAGATCTGAGCCAATGTGGAAGCTGCAGAGGCATCGCACTACTAATGATACCAGGAAGAGTTTCCAACAGAGTGTTGCTGAACAGGATAAAATATTCAGTAGACACTCATCTTCGAGATCAACAGGCTGGATTCCGTAAGGATCGATCGTGAACAGACTAAATCGCGACACTAAGGATCATTGTTGATTAGTCATTTGACTGAAAATCGTCACCATACATCAACTTCCTTGACTATGAGGTGTTCGACAACGTGGGTGGGTGTTATGTCCCGATAAGCATAATGAATGGTAACTTTTGGGATCCATTAATGGACCAATACTAACGTATATTTTTATCGTATAATTGTTAAATAACTAAACTATTCATATTTATGTCCCTCTTATTATGAACTTTATTTTGATCTATGAACTATTATTCTACGATTTACCATTATTGAATTATACCCTGTCTATTAATTACTATCCCCACACTCACAGCCACTTTTGGCTAAATCTTGTATAAATGTCGTTTCCTATTTTATGGTAGGATGTGTTCTGTCTGGTTGGTTTATAAACCCAATATGGTTGAAATAAACTATTCATATCACAGAGACTGTGATTGGTGTTCTGGACTTGACTGGCTGGGCTAGGCGGAAAGCAGGACTGATAAGTACTCTAGACTGCTCGTACGGGTTTTACGCGTCATTGGTCCGATCGATAATTCACTGCTCTAATTGGCGGTATTGTTACGCTATACATTAGTGGGACACACAAGTTATAACAGTGGGAGAACCTTCTTCGACACTGGTGTACCTGAGAAAATCGTCAACATCATCCGGAATTCATTGCAAAGTGGTGCATGGAGGAAAGCTGACAGACGCACTCTAAGTGAGGACCAGAGTCAGGCTACTTACTCTCTCCCTTCCTCTTTCTTCTGGTGGTTGACTGGATTATAAAGACCTCTACATCTGAGGTGGTGATGCAAGAAATAGGATGGACAGCTTGCATGCATCAGACGATTTGGACTTCTTGGATGACTTGGCCCTTCTGTCCCATACTCACAAACCAATGCAGGTCAAGACAACCAGTGTAGCAGTAGCCTTTGCATCAGTAGGTCTCAACATTCATAAAGGAAAATGAAAGATCCTCAAATACAATACGGAGAACACCAACTAAATCACATTTGATAGACAAACTCTGGAACAGGTGAAAACTCACGTACTTGGACAGCATCATTGATTAACAAGGAGGATCTGATGCAGACGTAAAGGTAAGGACTGGTAAAGCAATAGCAGCATTCCTACAGTTGAATAACATATGGAACTCAAAATAACTGTCAACTAACACCAAAGTCAGAATCTTCAATACGAACGTTAAGATAGTTCTACTGTACGGAGCTGAAACTTGATGAAATACCACAACCATCATCAAAAAGTACAAGTATTTGTAAGCAATTGTCTACACAAGGTACTCAATGTCCGTTGATCGGATACCATCGGCAACAGCCTTCTGTGGGAGAGAATAAACCAGCTTCCAACTAAGGAGGAAACTAGGAAAAGACATTGATGGTGGATAGGACATACATTGTGGAAATCACCAAACTGCATCACGAGGCAAGCTCTAACTTGGAATTGTCAAGGGAAACAGAAACAAGGAAGGCCAAAAATACACTGTTTCGAGAATTGGAAGCGGACATGGAAAGGTTGAATAGCAACTGAAAAGGATTGCTCAGGACAGAGTTATATGAAGAATACTCCTTGAGCAGTCTATGCTTCTCTACAAGGGGTAACAGGCTTAGTTAAGTTATCGATTGCGGGTAAATTATTGGTTGTTCGTGTTTACAACCAGTGGGAGGATATATAAAGATTGAGGTGCAGACATGTGTTCAACCAAACTCACATATATTTTGGGTTTACTATAATCCAAAGTCAGAAGGTGGTGTACACTATAAACTTCTGTGATAACTATCATATCAGGTGTCAGATACTACCACAAAAGGTTAAACTATTGTTCCGGGGAACAGTATGGCATCACTTTTGCTGTGTAAAGTTGATCACCTGGAATGTTTTATTTACGTTACTGAAATTCTTTAAGTTCTTAGTTCTCGTTGATCATAGTTGGAACTCCATCAAGTTTTCTGTTTTCTGCATCTAGTTGTCAGCTTCGAAAAAGTGCTTGTTTATGTATCGTTTGAATGTTATTTTGGAGTGAAACGTGTCTGTAATATAGTTTGCTCTACCCTATAAATCCCAATTTCTCAGTATTTATGCTGCTATTTGTTAGCTTTTTGTTTGATTCTAATTCAAACCATGTTTATTACCATGATTACTAAATCAAACTTTCGTAGCCTTTTTTAAAGAAAGAACACAAACAAAATTATTCTACTGTTTCGTCGATTTCATTTTTCCTTCATAAAAAAGAATCAATATAATTTGGTAGTCTGTGCTAACAGTTTACTGGAAATCCCGTGTAAATCTTCTCGTTCACGTGTTATTTCATCATTGTGGGAGAAAACAACTGATTTTCTGGTCTTTATTGAACAAGGAACAAAGTCCGGATTTCAGGCAATACTTGAAGCAAGAGACTTTTTGGTTTGTCAATTTGATTTTTTAAATTGCGTACTAATTATGAAAATTATTATCTAAATTTAAGAATCAATAAATTTGTCCTTGCACTTTCAGCTCACATCCTTTCGTTAATGATTCTTAGTCCAACTGGGTGTAGTACACATGGGTTGAATTCCTTGATGGTAACTAGATTGTCAATGCTTTGAGATAACTATTTCAGTACAGCTTGTTCATTTCCACATCCAAAACATAAGTTTTTTGTTTTAAGTGGTCAGTGTCTTAGTATTGTATCTAAAAGTTATATTCGAGCTATTTTTAGTGAATCTACAAAAATTAGAGAAGCAAATCCTTTCTTAATGAATTTATTTTCAAGTTTCCCATTCATACACAAACAGTAAATGTGTCACTCTATTGTCGAAAAACAAGTGTTAGCAGTGAAATATCATAATAATTGTGGGAGCAAATCATAAGTTAGGATTACATAAGGTGTATTGAATTGTTGACTTACTTTCTTAGGCCTGTTACCTTTAGTGAAAAATAGGCCATTGATCAAGTATCGTCAACAAACTCTGTCTTGGTCTCTTTTTTCCAGTTCTCTTTCTCTATGCTTTTGATGTCTACCTCCCATTCCCGGGGCGATATATTCTTTGGTCTGATTTTCGTTTCGCCTTGAGGATTTCATGTTAAGGCTCGCTTTGTGATGTAGTTCGATAATTTCCGCAATTTATGACCAGTCTACCTTCAGTGCCTTTTCCTAAATTTCTCAGTTGTAAGCTGATTTGTTTTCTCCCAGAGTAGGTTATTGCTGATGGCCGTTCCCTAATTGATCTGGGATATCTTTCATTACTTACTTACTCACGCCTGTTACTCCTCGTGAAGGAGCATAGGCCGCTCACCAGCATTCTCCATCCAACCCTGACCTGGGCAATCCTTTCCAGCTCCTTCCAGTTCCTATTCATCCTTTTCATATCTGCTTCTAGTATCCGACGTAATGTGTTCTTAGGCCTTCCTCTTTTCTGCTTCCCTTGAGGATTCCAAGTTAGGGCTTGTCTCGTGATGCAGTTTGACGATTTGCGTAATGTATGCCCTATCCATTTCCATCGTCTTTTCCTAATTTCTTCTTCAGCTGGAAGTTGATTTGTTCTCTCCCACAAAAGGCTGTTGCTGATGGTATCAAGCCAATGGATGTTGAGTATCTTCCGAAGACAGCTATTTATAAATACTTGTACCTTCTTGATGGTGGTTGTTGTAGTTCTCCAAGTTTCAGCTCCATACAGTAGAACTGCCTTGACGTTGGTATTGAAGATTCTCACTTTGATATTGGTTGAAAGTTGTTTTGAGTTCCATATGTTCTTTAACTGTAGGAATGCTGTCCTTGCTTTGCCAATCCTTGCCTTTACGTCTGCATCTGAGCCTCCTTGTTCATCGATGATGCTTCCTAGGTATGTGAAGGATTCTACATCTTCCAGAGTTTCGCCGTCAAGAGTGATTGGATTGCTGTTCTCCGCCTTGAATTTGAGTACCTTGGTTTTCCCTTTGTATATGCTGAGGCCTACTGATGCAGAGACTGCTGCCACACTGGCTTTCTTTGTCTGCATCTGTTCGTGTGTATGCGATAGGAGGGCTAGGTCATCTGCGAAGTCCAAATCGTCTAATTGATTTTGAGCTGTCCATTGTATTCTGTGTTTTCCTTCAGATATCGAGGTCCTCATAATCCAGTCGACCACCAGAAGAAAAAGGAAGGGGGAGAGTAAACATCCTTGTCTGACTCCGGTCCTCACTTGGAATGCATCTGTCAGCTGTCCTCCATGCACGACTTTGCATTGTAGTCCGTCGTATGAGTTCCGGATAATATTGACAATCTTCTCATGAACTCCATAGTGTCGAAGAAGTTTCCATAATGTCCTCCTATCCACACTGTCAAATGCCTTTTCATAATCAATGAAGTTGATGTATAGTGATGAGTTCCACTCAACTGATTGTTCGACGATGATCCGTAATGTTACAATTTGGTCTGTGCATGATCGATCCTAACGGAATCCAGCTTGTTGATCTCGAAGTTAGGTGTCTACTGCATCTTTCATCCGGTTCAGCAACACTCTGTTTAAGACCTTCCCTGGTACTGATAGTAGTGTAATGCCTCTATAGTTCTCACATTTGCTCAGATCTCCTTTCTTTGGAATCTTGACGAGGTGTCCTTTTTTCCAGTCCATCGGCACTTGTTCCTCCTCCCAAATCATTTTGAATAGAAGATAAAGCATGCTTGTGGTTGCTTCGATGTCTGATTTCAGTGCTTCAGCTGGTATGTTGTCGGGTCCTGCTGCTTTTCCGTTCCTTATTTGTTTGACGGCCATTCTGATTTCTTCCTTCGTTGGTGGGTTGATGTCTATGAGAAGATCTGTGTGTGCCGCTTCAATGTCCGGTGGATTCATTGGAGCCGGCCTATTCAGGAGTTCCTCGAAGTATTCTACCCATCTGTTCCGCTGTTGTTGAACTCCAGTGATTGGCTTGCCTTCTTTGTCTTTGACCGGTCTCTCTGGTTTACTGTATTTCCCTGATAGTTTCTTCGTTGTATCGTAAAGCTGTTTCATATTTCCTTTTCTAGCAGCTTTTTCCTCTGTCGTTGCTAGTTCTTCCACGTATTTCTTCTTGTCGGCTCTAATGCTCCTCTTCACTTGCTTGTTTGCTTCTGTGTATTCAGCTTGTGCTTGGACTTTCTCTGCTCGTGTTCGGCTGTTGTTAATTGCTGTCTTTTTGTTCTTCCTTTCTTTGATCTTGTCCAGAGTTTCCATAGAGATCCACTCCTTATGATGGTGTTTCTTTAGACCCAGAACCTCTTGACACGTTGAAGTTAATGCTTCTTTGATACTTTTATAGTTATCCTTCATAGTAGTTTCTTCTTCCTTCAGTAGATCTTGTAAGGCTTGGAACCTGTTGTTGAGAGCTATCTTGAATTCATTGAGTTTGTCAGTATTTCGAAGGAAGGCTGTATTGAACCATTGTAGTGTTGTTTGTCCAGTTCTTCTTTAGCTTCAGTTTTAAATTGGCTACAACATCTGAAGCTACGTCAGCTCCTCTCCTGGTTCTCACTTCTTCCATTGTCCTTCGGAATTTTTTGTTGATGCAAATATGATCTATCTGGTTCTCTATAGTGTGGTCCGGTGAAATCCATGTAGCCTTGTGTATACGGTTGTGTGGAAATATTGTGCCGCCTATGACCAATTTGTTGAATGCACATAGATTTGAAAATCTTTCTCCATTTTCGTTTCTTTCTCCCAGTCGATGTCGTCCCATAATATCTTCATATCCGGTGTTGTGTATTCCGACTTTGACATTTAGATCTCCCATTAGAATGGTGAGGTCCTTTCTTGGGCATTTCTCTATGATTGACTGCAGCCGCTCGTAGAGTTGATCTTTAATGTCGTCGTTGCTGTCATTGGTGGGTGCATAACATTGAATAATATTCATTAAAATCCCCTCCTTCGCTTTGATGATTCTGGATCCATGAGATTCACATCCTACAAGTGCATTTCGTGCTACTTTGGACAGCATTAGAGCGACTCCCTGAGTGTGTGGAGCATTGTCCTCTTCATGACCGGAGTATAGCAGCATCTCTCCCGTAGCTAGCCTTTTCTGTCCAGCTTGAGTCCAGTGGGTTTCGCTGATTCCCAGTACTGCCAGGTTGTATCTCCTCATTTCCGTTGCTATTTGACTGGTCTTCCCGGTCTCCCACATCGCTCGGACGTTCCATGTACCTACAAAAATTTTTGCTCTGGTTGTTAGAAGGGGCATCGGCCTCGTGGCTTCCGAAGGAACTCGGCTTTCACCATGAAGCGTCATAATTCTTCTAAATGAAGACCTTCTAACTCCCAGGGCAGAGTTAAAATGGTTTGAATAATTTTTTTCTGGTAAGCGTTTTTTTAGCGAGTTAGTTTTCTACGGGATGGGGTCGCTAGCTCGATGCCCAACCCTCCCCCTTTACCCAGGCTTGGGACCGGCAGTAACTCTAGAAAAGCTACAGGCGGAGTTGGATATCTTTCATATACAGCTGTTTATAAATACTTGTACTTTTTTCATGATGATTTCAGTTGTTCTCCAACTTTAGACAACATACAATAGAACTTTCTTGGTTTCTGTATTGAAAATTCTGACTTTTGTGTTTACCAACCGTTGTGTTGAGTTTCAGATGTCCTTCAATCATAGAAACACTGCCCTTGGTTTGCTTATCCATACATTCACATTTTCATTAGATTCTCCTGCCAGATAGTGAAGGTTTTCATCTCCTCGAGATACTTTTCATCAAAGGTGACTTGGTAGCTGCTCATTCTATTGTGTCGCGGGATCCTATTTTTACCTTTGTAGATGCTGAGACACTTTGGTACCATGGTTGTCGTCACTTTCATTTTTTACTGTGTGCTTTAGAAGGGATGAATCGTCTATAAAGTTTAAATCATTCAACTGAATCCATGGTGTTCACTGTATTCCGTGCTTCCTCTAAGATTTGGTCTTCATAATTGAGTAAGCAACTAGAAGATAGGCAACAGGCGTGAGCAAGCAGTCTTGGGTTGGATCACTCTTCACTTGAAATGCATCTGTGAACTACCGTCTATGCACGGATCTGCAATTCAGTTCATTGTAGGAGTTCCGTATAATAGTAATGGTTCTCTCAGGTAATCCATAGTGTTGAAGATCCCATAAGGCTTTCTTAGCCAAATCGTTAAATGGCTTTCCATAATCAAGAAAGTTGATGTATAGCTATGAGTTCCAGGTTACTGTTTGTTCAACAATGATCTACAGTGCCGCGCTTTGGACAGTATTTGATTGATTTTTTCGAAAGCCGGTTTATGAGTTTGGAAGTTAGGCTTTCACTGAATTTTCCACTCAGTTTAGCAACGCTCTACTTAAAATTTGGCCTGGTGCTGACAGTAGTGTCATGTCTCCGTATTTCTTACGCTTACTAAGATCTCCCTTTTTTTAGTATTTTGATTAGGTGTACCCCTTTCCAGTTTGTTGGTACATGTTCTTCGTCCCAAATCTTTAGGAAAAGAATGTGTACCATGTTTGCAGTTGCCACTATATCTGACTTTATGGGCTTCATCTAATATGCTATCTCGTTCTGCTGCTTTCCCACTTCTGAGTTGTCTAATGACCTTACTAATTCCTGTTGTTGGTGAGCTGACACATAAGGGAGGTCTTTGTTTACCGCCTCGATGTCCGGTTGGTTCAGTGCGGCCAATCTATTCATGGACTTTTTAAAGTGCTCTACCCACCTGTTCCTCTGCTGTTGAACCTCAGTGATTGATTTTCCTTATTTTTCCCTGACTGGTTGCTTTGGTTTACTATATTCACCATATAGTTCTCCCATACTTCGTTATCTTACAACTTTTCTGCTGTCATTGCTAGATCTTCCATACATTTTCGCTCATCAACTCTAATGTTTTCCACTCGTTTGTTTAGTTTTGGGATGCAGGTACAGCCAACTGACGAATCCCAAACAAGACCAAACGTGCGTTCCGGATTCCACTACTTACCATATTTCATCTTTTCTATTTTAAATAGTTTTCAAATTACTTTTTTTGGAAAATATTATGTTTTTCCAATCGATTTTCAAAATATCAGGGATGAGAAATAGATAGATTTCCTTTTTTTCTTCTAAGATTTAACAATGTAGAGAATTCAGTTAACTGCCTATTCCGTGTTATTTTTATGTGGGTGGATCTTTGTATGTACACATCACTTCTCTTAATAGGAAAAAATTGGAAAAAGCGAGAAACAATTCCAATTTACTAGCTATTTCGAATTCTGAGTAATAGTTGTTGATTGGTAAATATGTTAATATCTTCTCCGTAAATGACAAGTTTATAGTTTATATATTTCCTGATTATGATCGTGCGAAATGTTTACCTGGTCCCATAAGCTCGTGTTAAATGTTTTGTAATCTTTTCTATGTTAAAATTTAACAATTATTTAAGATCATATAACACTGCTTATTTTACCACGCAACTGTAATAATCGCTCTCCACACTTTGTTAAAAGAGCATTCAAGCGCGTTATTTAAAACTTTTTTCCAGCGCACAAATGGGGGACCGGACGTTCACATTTTCAGTCCAGTAAGTAATCGCTGGTATTAATTTTGAACTTCTAAAAGTGTTAAAATTCCGTTATTTATCAGGGCAGAATGTTTTGTGCAACTTTGTTTGTAGTTTCTATATATAACAACTTTCGCATACTCGACTTTGTTGAGAGTTACTGCTGCTGATAAATATTCCATTTATTTCCATAGAAGTTTAAAATTTTCAAACTAGTCATTTGATAGACTAGTTTAATGGCTGTGCCTTTAAATATTCTTATATTATGTCAGTTGTGGGATTAGAAATAATGTATTTTGTCCTACTACTAGTAGTGTAGTGAAGGAGAACACAGGTGAGGACAACCAAATTGTATTTAGCACAAATTACAGAGTTACTTGGTAACATAGAAAAACCATATAGTAAATCGTTAATTTGCAAAATACCATTCCATCATATAAAACCGGATTGTTGCTGTTGCAAACATCAATCTATTGTCTCACATTTCATTGTTCATGCGATTTCTTACAAATTCCATTGTGTTCTCGCCCTTCTTTTCTTGATCTTCCCCATCTTTTGCTGCCAGATATTACGTTCTTTTAACTCACGTTATATACTACTTATATCAATATAAGTAGCACGCACCACACTCATCCCCCCTTTTAATAAGTTGCTGTCGTAGTCTTTCTGATCTCCGTACCGCCGTCTTCTTTGGTGCTTTTCGTGACTCACGCCCATGCTGATATTGAAACCATCTCTGCAGTTGACTAGCGTTTACTCGCTTCTGCTTGTCTTCTCTCCGGATCGTGTAGACCGAGCTGCGTCTCTCCATGATAACAAACTGTCCTTCCCACTTTAGGATCAGCTTTCCCGACCCTGCTCCCCCTGCTATGTTACTTTTTCGTTCTCTACACTTTACTAGGTCCCCAACTGCATGTTTTTGATTTGGTTAAACGTTTGTTCGGCAGTCTCAGTCCACGTAAACTTGGTGTTGCTCAATAACTTATATAAGGGTGCTGCTATTTCATTGAAATTATTGACAAACCGACTGTAGAACGCCGCTCTTCCCAGGAACTGACTCAATTTCTTTTTCGAATTAGGTACTTCAATATTTTTTATGGTGAGAATTTTCTCCGATAATGGTTTTATTTCTCCATTTCCCACTTTATGTCCCAACAACGTGACGCTACTTCTCGCTATTTGTGACTTGTCCTTATTAATCCGAAGTCGGAATTCGTCAATTCGCTTTAAGACCATTTCCACATGCTTGACGTGATCTGTTTCTGTCTGGCTGTTCACAACCACATCGTCGCCATATACCTCGACATTATCTAGATTCTTGAGCAGTAGTGTCATTAGTCTTCAGAATGTGAACGGCGCACCTGCCAACCCGAACGGCATTCGTTTAAATTGATACTGTTTATCACGTACCGTAAACGCTGTCTTGCTTCGATCGCTCTGTTTTATAGGCAGTTGCCAATATCCTGACCGTAAATTCAGCACTGTAAACACCGTGGCATTCTGTAGCCGATCTAATGTTTCCATCACTGTTGGCATTGCACAAGGTTTCACGTCTGTTATATTATTCAATTCTCTGAAGTCGACACAAAATCTATACTTTCCATTTGGTTTCTTTACTAAGAGTACCGGTGAGCTACATGGGCTGCTCAAGAATCTAGATAATGTCGAGGTATATGGCGACGATGTGGTTGTGAACAGCCAGACAGAAACAGATCACGTCAAGCATGTGGAAATGGTCTTATAGCGAATTGACGAATTCCGACTTTGGATTAATAAGGACAAGTCACAAATAGCGAGAAGTAGCGTCACGTTGTTGGGACATAAAGTGGGAAATGGAGAAATAAAACCATTATCGGAGAAAATTCTCACCATAAAAAATATTGAAGTACCTAATTCGAAAAAGAAATTGAGTCAGTTCCTGGGAAGAGCGGCGTTCTACAGTCGGTTTGTCAATAATTTCAATGAAATAGCAGCACCCTTATATAAGTTATTGAGCAACACCAAGTTTACGTGGACTGAGACTGCCGAACAAACGTTTAACCGAATCAAAAACATGCAGTTGGGGACCTAGTAAAGTGTAGAGAACGAAAAAGTAACATAGCAGGGGGAGCAGGGTCGGGAAAGCTGATCCTAAAGTGGGAAGGACAGTTTGTTATCATGGAGAGACGCAGCTCGGTCTACACGATCCGGAGAGAAGACAAGCAGAAGCGAGTAAACGCTAGTCAACTGCAGAGATGGTTTCAATATCAGCATGGGCGTGAGTCACGAAAAGCACCAAAGAAGACGGCGGTACGGAGATCAGAAAGACTACGACAGCAACTTATTAAAAGGGGGGATGAGTGTGGTGCGTGCTACTTATATTGATATAAGTAGTATATAACGTGAGTTAAAAGAACGTAATATCTGGCAGCAAAAGATGGGGAAGATCAAGAAAAGAAGGGCGAGAACACAATGGAATTTGTAAGAAATCGCATGAACAATGAAATGTGAGACAATAGATTGATGTTTGCAACAGCAACAGTCCGGTTTTATATGATGGAATGGTATTTTGCAAATTAACGATTTACTATATGGTTTTTCTATGTTACCAAGTAACTCTGTAATTTGTGCTAAATACAATTTGGTTGTCCTCATCTGTGTTCTCCTTCACTACAGTTCTAGTACTAAACGTCATTAAAGATTCCTAACTATTGTACCTTAGTTCACCATGTGCTGCTTGAAATTGAAGAATACTGCAATGGCATCTCAGTTCCTAGTAAGCCGAATTTATTCAGTTGCAATGTGCTACATCACACTCGCCACTTTTCAATATCATTGCTGACATATTTCCGCAATTATATTGCAAACGAAATCCCGTATATTAGAATGAATTGTTAATGCTTTATGATTATTTTTAGTGTCCTCATTTGCAGACTTGTGGAAAAAAGGATTCCAACTGTAACATTGTTGTACGATATTACAACTTTGGATTAACGCGAGTAAGTATTCATTTATTGTATATTGAACAAATAAATAGGAGAACCATTGGCCGAATTCTATAAATGTTTAAAATATTTTGTTGAATTATTTATCTTGTTGACTTTTAGAAGGGATAAATTAGTTATATGTCAAGTCTGATGTTAGGAAATTGTTGATGTCTGTTGAGACTATTTACTCTGAAGAAGTGGCTTACATTAAGTCGCGAAACGTGAGAAATACAATTTTTCTACTCATTGGGGTATAACAAAAATATATTTATTATGAAGTTGTTAATATTTCTTATGATGAAACTTGCCGATCAATAGCATTTTCGTTCAGATTCACTGAACACAGTTATTCTACATTATCAAGTTAATGTTCAACTCTTTGTTATGTGTAAAGCCCACATTTAAATCGTGTAGTTACTGTACACTCAGCAGGATAGTGTCTCACCATCATTGTTTTTTACTGTGCACCCGGCTGTTTATTTTATACCTTTCTATATTATTTCACACTAAGTTATATAGAACTATTTCGCTCGTTTTCCTTTAATTCAAACGGTAGTATTTTCCTATGTTATTGATTTTCAGTTCAAAAGTGAACCGTCTAGCGAGCTCATTTCTTATTTGGTTGTATCAAAGGGGGATTGGCGAAGACATCAAGTCCCAGTCGTAAAACCTGAACCTGACCAATTACCTCGGATTGTCACTCATAAACTATTCAAACATGATCAGCCCATTCACGATATATGTATGCCTTCCGGTGCAGTTGAACGTGTTCTATTCCCTAAACAACAGACTGATGCGTAAGTGTTTACTAAAATTAATTATTGTTGTTTATATGTGTGACCATTTATTGTTTACTTATTCTTTTGTCAGCACAACACAAACGGTTAGTGCAAACTTTTACATATGATCAATGTTATTGACTTGTTACTCTGAACATTAATATCAACACCTGATTATTTCTCATATACACTCGTACCCGATTTTTTTTGGACTGCAACTAGGAAAATTTCCGTTCACACTAAAATTGTTTTGAAAATACTTCATACAGGAACAGAAAACATGGAATCTGGGACAGATGTGTACCGGATTCAAGTTAATACATCCCACAGGAAATAAATAGGAATCAAAGCAAACGTGTGTAAGTAGCATCGAGGATATCAGTAAATGACCATAAATAAGCAGAAAAGTAATTTAACAAATAAATAAAATTAAAAAAGAGAAACCTATAAAGTCATTCTGCGTCCAAGATTTATTAGCAAATAACCAATAAACTTATGTGTCAATGTAATTTCCCACAAACTAACTGACTATATATGTCTAAAACCATGTCCTCGTCACTATTTTGTTTCATAGAGGTCTATATTACTACATGAAACAAGCACATTCTGGTGATATCGTCCCTGCTGAAGTGGTGGCCACAAATGAATCTGACCATATGATTGAGTGTGTGAACGAAGAAGATAAAGAAAATAAACCGTCTTCACAGAGTTGTTGATATTTTTTACCGAATATTGGTGATGCCATTTAGTGTAAATGCATGTAAAAGTGAATCCAGAAATAATTTATATGCAGTTACGTTAATAATATAACAAACAAATGTGTGTTACATTCTGTACAAAGTCAATTGCTCTCTCATCTTTTATTTTTTGTTGTTGTTTCAAGAAAGCAACTTAAGTTTGTGTATGGATATATTCGTTCAATAAATTTTATAATGAAGTTATTTTTTATGCGATTTTGCAAGCTAATGCATAATTTATGGTTGCATTCCCAAATGGATCGTCTAGTTATCCAGATTATTAAGAATGTCTTGGGAACATAGTTTGAAAGGCGCTCTTAGAATTTTTCCTGTTTATCAAGCATATTAGGATACAGGACAAAATACTGTTGTACTTTCATGTTACGTTTTTCGTTGGTGAAAACGATTGTATGCTTATGAATTTATCACAAATAGATTGAACGCTTAATTGTACTCAGCTATCTTCCTATTTAACTATTGAGAAAATGATAAATTGAAATGTTACATAGATTCAGGTGATATATGTTACCGATATTTGAGCGAAACTTATGTGATAAAGGTATTAAATTTGAAAAAAAAAATTGGTAAATAAACCTACACTCGGGAAAGTATTATTTGGACGTAATTAATGGCCAAATGATCGGATTCGTGATTACTTTTGTACTGGTGCATTGTTTTTGTTGCTTATTTTCCTCCATGATTGTTATATTCCAGCGAAGATTAAATTACGGGTAACTTCTGAGAACTATTAATGGACTAATATTATATATATTCCTATTGTATAACTGTTCAGTAACTAGATTACGTATATTTATATTCCTCTTATTATATGCTTCATTTCGACCTATAGATTATTATTATACGATTTAGTGTTCCTTAGCTATACTCAGCTTATTAACTACTGTCTCCCACGTTCACAGCCACTTCTTGACTTGATCTTGTATAAATGTTATTTCCTATTTCATGGTATGATACGGTCTGTTTGGCTGGTATATAAATCAAGTATGTTTGAAATAAATGATTCGCATAGTAGAAGCTGTTACTGATGCTCTAGACTCAACTGGATCGACTAGGCGAACAAAGGACCAATAATTTATTATTTATTATTAGAAGCTTTATTCAACATTATATTTTTGGTACAACATAGAATTCTCAGCATAAAGTATTTCAACAAGTTTCCTTTTCTTATACCTTGATCTATTGTGACGATAAATTTTGAATGATGACCGGTTAGATGTTAGGAGTTCGGTAATCCACATTTGATTAATGTTCGTTCGTTTCAATGCATATTGCCAGCCACCATGATGTCGATGATTGTACCTTTTTGTATCACGTATAGCGAAAGGTTGTAAACTTTTCATAAACGCGCCTGAATAGATTGTGTGCACAATGGACATAATGATGAACTAAAACAAGCAACTAAAACAGATAACTTGATGAAATATGTAGATCGGAGGAACAGGTAGCCCAGATATTCAAGCAGGCCGCCACCTCAACCTCAATAATAACTCTAGGTTGCTCATACCGGTCGAACGTCATTGGTTTAGCACAGTACTAAGATTGGATAAGTCGTATCTCGATTGGCGAGTAAATCGCGTGAAAACTAGCCTGGCTTAAAGTCACAATAGTGATGTTGTAAATGAGGTTTGTTCATCAATGTAGGTCGGTCGAAGTTTACAATTATTTGAATCTTCCCTTATTGTAGATCTTTGTTTTGCAGTTATTGCATCAACCTCTCTCATCACCTGAAAAGCACCACTAGAGTGAGGTTCCAGTACCTTGCACACACTATGTCAGGACGACTGGTGTATATACTGTTAAAAGACATTTGAATATACCGTCCAACGTCAATTTTTACAGTCATACGTACCACTCGGTTATCACTGTACTAGGCACTTAAATTAAAAGGTGCTGAAATGCTGTATATTGATCGAAAATTAGTTGCCTCTGACAGCTGTACAACCTAACTTTTATCCTGTTAGTTATTTTGTACGAATCAGCAGGATTAACTACTAATACTTATTTAGCTACATTTTCACGTATCCTTACTGATCCCATAAACCATTTCCTTATCCTCATATAACTACTTACTAATTTCTACTCATTTACCGAGTTTTACGTACACATGACTGCTTACCTGTATGTTTTTATTACCCAGTTTGTCGTCTTCTTGAACTAAATATTGATTTTGATTACTGTAATCAGTCATTTCTCTAAAGGGTTACGAGATGCATCAACTTTTATTTAGATTCATGAATACATTTTGTTCATGTCCGGTAACGTGAAAGATGTCAAGGGCCTATTGTGCAGTTTGTAAAATAACTCCAAACTGATGGTTGAATTAAGTTATGGCTAAAAGAACAAACACACGCCCCACAAATGCAGTATTTACTGGTTTCAGAATTTCACTCTATCATGTCGAAAATAGTGAGAAAATCTATGTTAACACGTAAAACTCAGCTGTTTTTGATATGAAGAACACGAGTATAACTGAGGACCTTTTAAACAAGCTGTTTGAACTCAATGTTTCTTCCCTACTTATGTACTATTTTCAGTGGATTCCCAAACATTGATAACTGTACTTGTTAAAATGATCGGTAGCCCGTTCTTCAAACTACCTATTAAAACTCCAAGAGAACGCCATGAGTACATAATACTACTCTGTACTATTTAGACTTTGAAAGTCATGTAATTATAATAAACATAACAAACAAGACCATGTTCTATCACAAACGATAAATCTCATTATGTGCAGTAAACAGGATTTTTATGGAAAAAAACTGAGTAGTAGCTTTACGACTAGTTTTCTGTAATCTAGGAATGGAAAAATATGTAGCAACAGCTAATGGAAGCATATAATTAGTTAATTAATCAGACTACCCCTAATTAATTATTGGATAAACCTACATCAGGAATTTATATCCTGGTTCACAGATGAACAGCTTCCAATATTTCCCATTTATTCCCCTATTCATAACACTGATTAGTTTTTTGCGAATCAGATAAGATAAAAAGTATCACGATCAGAAAATTAGTGGCTAGTCGGGCTTCGATAAAATAAAACTCCGAACAGTTAAAAGGTTACAAGATTCGGAGAAAAGATTTTTAATTCGTTGTTCACATTAAGGGCACAATTCATATCTAGTTGTATTCATGTATTTGAACTTGTTTCCATTTCAGTTTCAAAAAATACATTTTATGACCAAAGTACTCTAAGATATAATCAACGTTGACCTAATGAATAAAGGATGTATAAATAGTTTGGTAAAGTGAATCATTTAATACAAATACAGAAGGAGCTTTTAACTTGAAAGGTTTGAGTGAACTACAAGCACAACTGTTTTATCGCTATAAGGTTGTGAAGATTTTTTTGGTTTTTATCAAGATTTTGAACCGATCAGTATTTAACCACCACTGAAAACCGGGAGAACGATGGAAGATGGTTGCTCAATATTGTGGATTGCTTGAAGTTAGATGCACAAATATTCCAATCATTTGATTTCTTTTATCTATAATTATTGAGTTCCCACAAAATTAGTCGCAGCAAAATTTATCGGGAAACAATTAAAACAGCCTAATGCTCAATTAAGACGATCGAACTATTTGTACCAAGTTGATAAAACGTAAAATATTACTTTGTACACTTGACTCTGAACGTTTACGTTGTATTATTGTGAAATGTAACTGAACAAATGGATATAAAGTAACGCTTGAGATATGGTGCAAATTCAGACTTGATTTTAAAATCACAAACACATCCTAAAATATCTATAAAGTGAAATTTTCTATACTTTATGGAACTGACTCTAACACTTTAGTTCGTAAACTGTTCGTACAATTTAACAGTGTCACTATAAAATTCAATAGATTAAATAAACTTCACGGTACCTAAGATTAGCACAAGAAGTAGTTTCAGTTTAGAGATTTTGCTTAGTAAATTTGAATAATTTACCATCAACTCAAGTGAAATTCAAGTAAAAACTAACAGCTGCGAAAGTTCCCAAACTTGTAGCTACTCCCTTGTAAACCGTATAATCCCTCATGAAGATATTTGAATCCATATCATATTGCTGAATAAAGAGAATAGCTATTAGGCCAGAAACCTCCAAGAGATATGATTCAAATAATGAACTCTCATGGTGGAGTTGGTTTAGGGTATAAGTTCACTATGAAATCAATTTTCAACTCTACTGAGTTAAATTGCATTTTGTTGAGTTTGTAACTCAACTGGTTTCAGTAGGCCCCCTAAATTTTGAGGAAATAATCGATTTTAATGCTGAAAGTCGATTTATAAACATGAAAACGACAAATAGCTTCTAACCATCAATAAAAATTCATTAAATGACATAGGGCAAATCAGGAAAAACAAGGTGTTTCAAATTTTAGTAAGAAATTCTGTTCCAATTAACGCTTTATGTCAATAATTTTAGTTATAAAATACGTACAATCTATCACTAACATCTGAGATGAATTGCTATTGTAAATAATGCGCTAAGAAATTAGTAATCAGTAGTTGATCCTATTTGTACAGACTACTCCGATTACAATCAATAAAGGTTACCTAACATGCATAGTATTTATTAAGTGTTCAACAACGATCGAACCAATTTTGCAAAAAGGTTACCGAACGAGACATATGATCAGTTCCAGTCTCAGTTTTCACCGTTTCAGAGCACGCAATACATTTATAGCAAGTTAAATCAATAAGAGTAAAATATTGATCAAAAAAAGCACAATGCTAGGAAATATTTCAGAGAATCAACTGATCAGATTTGGTTTTATTCAGCGTACATTACCTGTGGGTGACTCATGTGTAATTATGCGTTACAACCACACGAGTATTGAAGATATTGGAATTTTCAGAATTACTTTATCGAATATTACTGTTTATGTTTTTATTGTATGATTATTAAATAATTGGACTACTACGTACCTTATTCCCCTTCTTGTTAGCTTCCGTTGGACCAAGTGACTGCCGTTGTACACTTTATTTTTCCTTGATCATTGTTTTTTAGTTACATATTATGTGCTTCGTTCTTTACCACGTATAGAATGTTTGTATGTAAAGTATTATTTTTTTTATCTGAGGTGCGCTGAAGTCTAATAATTTATGTACATAAAGCAATGAATTTTAAAATAACATACTGGGTACCTGAAATATAAATAACAGAATCTTGCATGCTGTTTTTTTTATCGGAATCA